GGGTTCAGGGGTGTTGGCGCAGAGATTCGGTCCGACACTCAGACCGGTAGCCTATTACTCGGTCCAATTAGATCCTGTAGCCAGAGGAACCGTTCCGTGCTTAAGAGCTGTGGCTGCTACCGTAGAACTAGTTAAACGATCGAAGGACCTGGTCTTAGGACACCCCCTTATTTTAAGAGTTCCCCACAATGTATTTGCGATACTCTTAAAGTCACAGACCCAGGCATTCACCCAACGCCTGGCCCAATACGAAGCAGAACTATTCACTTCAGAAAACATCACCTTTGAACGCTGCAACACGCTCAACCCAGCAACATTACTGCCCATTAATCTAGCAGACGAGGTATTACATGACTGCTTACACCTAGTTCAAGATGCTGAACTACCGCGTCCTGACTTAACAGATGATCCCCTTACAAACCCAGACCTAGAATTATTTACTGATGGCTCCTCCTACCTTCTTAATGGGACCCGTGTAACAGGAGCTGCAGTTGTCTCTCTGCATGAGTCAGTCTGGGCTTCCCCCTTGCCACTGCGCTACAGCGCTCAAGCGGCCGAGCTTACTGCATTAAGAAAGGCATGTGAAGTGGCCGAGAATCAGTCTGCCAATATATATACAGATTCTAGATACGCTTTTGGAGTCTGCCATGCGACCGGTGATCTCTGGAAGCAGAGGGGGTTTTTAACGTCCAATGGCCAGCCAATTGCTCATGCGGACCTCATAACTGACCTATTGAAAGCTATCCAACTACCCTCATCCCTAGCAGTCATCCATTGTAGAGCACACCAAAAGGATGATTCAAGGGTCACGAAAGGAAATCAGTTTGCTGACGTTACGGCTAAGTGGGCTGCCACTCAACCTCTGAAGGCATTCACCACTCTCCCTACATTACAATTAGGACCAACAGTACAATACCAAGACCTGTTAGAACCTGGGGAAATAAAAACGTGGGAAGAGAAATGCGAGGCAATATATGGAGAAGGATTTTGGTGGGTCCCAGATGGGAGGCCCATAGCTCCCAGACGTCTGCTATGGCTAACCTGTCAGCAGCTACACTGCAAAGGACACTGTGGGACACAAGCAATAGTAGATGCCATAAGAAGAGTGTGGTGTGCCCCAGGGGTCTACAGTGAGGCCACTTGGATAGCCAAGACATGTCAGATATGCCAAGCAAACAATGCTTCCTCAAGAAAAGCGACACACGCGGGGGGGGGGGAGACCATGGGCCCAACGCCCCTTTGAAAAACTCCAGCTAGATTACATTCAGCTCCCTAGAAACAATGGTTACCAATACGTGCTAGTCTGCAGAGACCAGCTCACCCACTGGGTGGAGGCATACCCATGCCGCCATGCCACTGCCCTGGAGACCGCAAGACACCTATTAAAAGAACTTGTGCCCAGGTTTGAAGTCCCAAGTGTTTTAGACATGGACAGGGGCACGCACTTTGTGTCGCAGGTAATCACACATGTCCTCCAAGCATTGGGCATTAAACAAGACCTACACACACCGGGACACCCCAGTTCCTCGGGGGGTGGGGGGTAGAGAAACAGAATAGAGAATTAAAAACTCTCCTAGGTAAACTCTGTCAGGAGACCCACCTGCCCTGGCCCCAAGTACTACCCATAGCCTTGTTCCACCTCAGAACCCGGCCAAGGCGAGAAATAGGCATCTCCCCCTTCAAATTATTGTTTGGTCGACCACCTGACACACTCAAGGGCCTAGACCCCCAGTCCCTCTGTTTAGAAAAGGGGGAGGTAGTCTTATCTTACAGCTCTACACCAGAGGCTCAGAGAACTGTGGAAGCAAAGTGCCCTGACACAGACTTTACCATTAGAAGAAAACCTGCATCATTTTGAGCCAGGGGACTGGATTTGGATAAAATCATACAGCCGCAAGTCACCACTACAACCAAAGTGGAGTGGGCCCTTTCAAGTTCTGCTAACCACCCAGACAGCAATCAAAGTAGCTGAAAAGAATGCCTGGATCCATTGGACGCACATCAAACCAGCAGTCGTAGACCACAGCATTATACCTGAGGCAACACCAAAGGTTCCACCCCTGAGGCTCAAGAAAAACCCAGAAACTGAAGAGTGGACGCTAAAGACACTTTTTGAAACTGAAACAAATGTGGGAGGGAATTAAGTTCATCTTTGTTAAAATCCTGCATACTATTTGTATTGTATTTTTGTATTTGAAATGTACCTCTGGGTTCATGGAACCAAAATTGTTTCCAGAAAAGGGGAATGTATGGGAGTATTTAGCAAGAGAAGTGCTAAACACCACCGATTTTTGCCTTGCTGGGGGTAGATCAGTAAAAGACATCTTAACCACATGCCTAATGGGAGTAGCAATAGCACCACAAGCCATCACTAACGACACTAAGTTAAGAGAGCACTCACTCACAGCCTCATATTACAATATTTTTGATTGGGGGACCAGTACAAACATAAAAGACAGCAGCATGTATATATTGCAAGTGGCAACCGTAACTCAAGCAGCTACTTGCTTCACACTGACTGGATGCTACATGCATAAAGTCCCCAACTGCTACAACCTCACTAACACTGAACTGGCCTGCAACGACACCAGGGCCATCACCTTTTCATACGGCTATAGGAAACTTCCTACAGGATGGTTTCTGCTGTGTGGCCTAAAAGCTTATTCCTACCTACCAGCAAACTCCACAGGGGGCCCTTGCACGTTAGGACGATTAACCATGCTAATGCCCTCCCTGCAAAGGCAGCAAAAGAGAAGCTTCCACACATTGCCCCCTGACTGTGACTCAAAGGTCTCCCTCCTCACAAAGGCTGAATATATTGCATTGGCTGTCTCTCTAGTGGGAGTGCCAGGGCTTGCAGCACGGAACTCGAGGAATATAAACAGCCTGGCATGTACCCTAGCTAAAAGCCTAAACACCACCTCCCATGCTCTAGATGCCTTGAACAAAGAATTAAGGCAAGTCAGAGAAGCAACCCTCGAGAATAGAGCAGCTATTGACTACTTATTGTTAAGGCACAATCATGGCTGTGAAGAATTCCATGGGCTCTGCTGTTTCAACCTATCCGACCAATCCGGGCTAATTGAACAAGATATCAAACAGTTAAAAGAACTAGCACAGAACATTGGACACAACCAATCATCCTGGGACCTTTCCTGGCTCTTCTCATGGTTACCAGACTTCCATTGGTTGAAAATTCTCATTGCTAGCATAATCACAGTCATAGTAGGTGGAGCCCTCCTTTGTTGCCTATGCCAATCAATTCCTTTAGGGTTGAAGTGCCTAAAGATCTGCACAACTCCCATCAGAGGCAAAGAACAGAGCAAGAAAAACACTCTCATGATGTGCCAAATTGATCACCACTACCGTATATATGAACCAGTTGGGCTAATCACTGGTACACCAGTGATAGCCCAAAATGGGGGAATTGATAAGAGTTGGACACCCCCTCCCCACCCCAACGAGGGAATGACTTGGCAAACACAGGAAAAACCCCAAGACCATGAGCTAACCTGATCCAGCAACAGCCTGAGGCTGGATAGCAAACACTTAACACACACCGAATGGAGAACTGGCTAGCAGCAATTGAGATTAACAAATACACAACAATAAGGTGATTAACACCTTTTAGGCAGGATTAAGAAGGAGATTTACCCAACAATAGTCACTGACCAGAAAATCAGGGAAAACAAATTTGAACTCACCAATCAGAAATGACAATTTTGGAAACCACGAAAGGGTATAAGAACTCATGTCTGAAGACCATTCTGTCTAGCTAGCCGGGGATTCATGCTGAATTGTCACTCAACTTTAATCTCCGTGATTAAACCTCTCTTTCCGGTAGCTGGCTTCACGTTCTATTTGTCCTCCTCTGTGCTGTTAAGGAGAATCCCGGCTGGAAGAGCCTGGACGGGGGAGTTCCTCCCAACACTAACTTAACAACTGCAGCGATTCACTTAACAACTGTGGCAAGAAAGGTCATAAAATGGGGCAAAACTCACTCAACAAATGTCTGACTCAGCAACATAAATTTTGGGCTCAATTGTAGGTTGTAAGTCGAGGACTGCCTATTAGTTGGTAATGCCTAGCAGAATAAAATCTGCAGGAATTCCCTTATGCTCCCATGATTGGTTCATGGCAATGTATCCTTTTCAAAAGTCCAAGCAAGCAGTAAGAGTTTTCTTTTCCTTTCCACCTATCTGGTGTGATTCATTGGGCTTGCATGGCAGGTAAAGGGACCTGAGGTTTCTGGGATGATACCATGACACTATATATTTCTTTCATTACAGAGGCCCCCTTCTAGAGAGCACATTCAGCATTCAGGTCCTAAAGCGAAGAAGCTGTCTGTAGATAAGGAGTCAGCAAAGATTCAGCCCAAGTTGCAGGAGCGGTTTTCTCCCAAAAGGACATCTGAGGGCTTCACATCCAGGGCATCTGAGCTAATTTCAGCAGCAGATCGCCTGAAGAGTGTCAGAGAGGCCAATTTTGAGAAAAAGAAGCGCCTTTCATCAAAAATCTCATCTGAATCTAATCCCATCCCAATCACACTTCAAAAAAGCAAAAAAGAAATATGTTTCTTACAAAAGACCAAAATGGCATCCCCACTACAAAAAAGCCCTCAGGCCATGAGGAACGAGGATCCTGCTACTACATCAAGGGAGAGCAATCCTGGCCCATCAAAGTCTCCTGGACCTCCATCTCAGAGCCAGTCACCAAAACAGAATCAACCTGCATCCAGAGTTGAACCAAAGGCAAATTCTACGTTGGTGGAAACTGGTCTATCTCAGGCTGTCCAAAGGAAATCAAAAGTAGAATCTGAGAAAGAAAGCATTCCAGTTAATCATTTAGCAAATCAGAGCCAGAACAGTAAAACTAATAAATATTCGGGGAACCCAAGCATGATTCTGGGGAATAAGCCACAGGCTTTTTCAAACATTTCCCCAGAAAAGGGACATCTCGCTTCTCAGAATGACCCTGGGCAGCAAGTTCACAGACTCACAATGTCAGTAGGAGTGGAGACTTCTCAAGTCATCTGCAAAACAGTGGCGGTGGGGCCCTCTGAAGCAGCTGACCCAAATTTGAGCAAACTTCCCAATAAATTATTGAGTGCAAATAAATCTCACAAAGAGCAAAGTAAGACCATAGGAAAAAGGGAAATGAGCAGGTACCGGTATGTGGATTCAAAATGAAATGTACACTCTTGGCACATGACTTGATTGTTTGAGGGGACCTTCCATCTCCTGTGGTGTCTGCTTGTCTTAAATGTTTGAACAGAGTTGAAATGCTTCAAGTCCTGTTGGTTAAATGGTGCCACTTTATATGACCCAGAAAGTGGCCCTTCTCTGCAATCATGTTTGTCCTCTGCAACAGCATCCACCCATAGAGTTAAATGGCCCCCATTCTGACCTTGTTCAAGGGCCCTGAACACCTGGTTCTTCCCCCAGGGATTGTGTCAGAGAGTGTAATGGGCCCTTTTAGGAATATGAAGTTGCAGTTTATGCCTTCACTTAACAAATGCATGTTTCATTTAAAAAAGGTTGTAGCAAAAAAGGTTGCAAAATCAGGCACGGTCATGACTTAACAACCACATCACTTAGTAACAGAAGTTCCAATCCCAATTGTGGTCCTAAGTCAAGGACTACCTGTTCTATTTCTCACATTGGTAGGCATTGAACGAGGCAGAGTAACAAACAGGTACTTCTTTATTTGCAGCTAAACAGAACTCTCTACAAAATGGCTCTGCCCCTTTTATACATTCACCCTGGGGCGTTGTCAGCCAATGAATGCAACGTATTTTCCTGCTTAAACGCATGCTCAGTAACTCAGAGACAGCCTGTCTGGCTCAGCAGGCCATGTGGTCTGCCAAGGTCTCAGTGCAGCTCCCTGCACCTGCTCCGTCAATCAAGCACAGGAGATAACACTACCTATATTGAAGGTTCTGCTAAGCAGCTCTTACATCTGCTAGCTTCCTTTGACTTTTCTCTGTACCAATCTGTTGTCTGAAAATGGAAAAACCAGTTTGTAGAGACTTTTGTTCCTTGCAACTGTTTATTTCAGCCTTTGCTTATCATTGTCTCTATCATCCAAATAGCAATAGCACTTAGACTTATATACTGCTTCACAGTGCTTTACAGCCCTCTCTAAGCGGTTTACAGAGTCAGCATATTGCCCCCAACAATCTGGGTCCTCATCTTACTGACCTCGGAAGGATGGAAGGCTGAGTCGACCTTAAGCTGGTGAGAACTGAACTGCCGAATTGCCAGCAGCTGGCAGTCAGCGGAAGTAGCCTGCATTACTGCATTCTAACCACTGCGCCACCACAGCTCTTAATGTCCATTTAGCTAAAATAAGAGCAGTTTTAAGTTAACCACTCCAGATCAATGGTCCCCAACTTTGGGGCTCCAGGACCTGGTTCTGTGGAAAACAATTTTTCCATGTACCAGGGTGGTGATGGTGGTTCACGCTTTACATAGATCCCACCCGTGCGCAGATGAAGCCTCACTAACTTGCGTGGCCCAGTTCCTAACAGGAGGCGGATCAGTACCGGTCCACAGCCCAGGGGTTGAGGACCCCAACTCTAGACAATGCATGGCATTCTGGCTGCAGATGAAACCCTTTCTAAACCACCAGGCATGGATGAGAGTTGACAAAAATTATGATGTTTATTTCTACCACAGACTTATTTTAAAAACATATTGCCCCAGGGTTCTAGCTCCAGAGACCAATTAAGCATTTATGAATGATTTTATTTATTTACTTATCACTTTTATAGGTCATCCATCTCATATGAGGTGAGTCTGGGCGGCCTACAATAAAATCAACTATTAAAACAATATAAAAGCGAATTAAAACAACTAAATTATTAGCATAAATAAAAGCATGATTTCAAGAAGGTTAATTAAGATGTTATACATGGTGCAATCAATGCATGAGCTCTCTGCTGCCAGGGGATTCCCAGGCCTGATGAAAAAAATCACATTTTGAGGGCTTTTAATGGATGTACAGTATATTGACTTTTACAATTGGCTTGCTTAGCTTAAGAATATTATGCAGGACAAAACTAATAAGAATTGAGATATAGAGGTATAATCAGCATATGATCAGGATTATTTAGAGTTCCTTAAATTTGTCTGATTTAACCTCTGTCTTATCAGAAGGCAGGTACCTTTGGCCAAGAACAAAGTGAAAACAGCAATAAACACAGGTAGGAAGAAATCTCAATTAAAATTACCAATAGCAGTATGGGTTACCCATGATACCTGCAGAACATTCCTTTCTGAAATAAATGAAGTCATTGAACTAAGGCGCAGTACTGACTATGGATCCAAATTTGCCCTTCTCCACATTCAGCAAAGCAGTTTGCTAACATCTGCATGCAACTGATCAATGTAAGGGAATCGAGACTAATATGACCAGTTAGTAAAAATGAAAAACTAAGAGAAAATGACACTGACAGATAGGCCGTCCCTTAGCTTGTGCCATTTCAGCTGGGGACCTCACCGTTGACCTTTCTTTTGTTTGCTTTGCAGCTAAAAAAAAGCAGCATTAAATTTGTAACCCTCTATAGCATCCTGTCCTCTTCATTGGAGAGACTGAAGAAATCAAGCAAGGACAGTGCCAAGGTAATGGTCTAAAGTATAATCTAAAGGATGGAGGAGGGCGGTGGAGATTCATTTGAAGGTACAGGACTCTAATAGTGCAGCATTTTGCAACCTTGGCAGCTTTCAGATGGGTGGACTCCAACACCCAGAATTCTCCAGCCAGCAAGCTGGGAGCTGGAATCCACCATCTGAAAGCTGCCAAGGTTGAAAAACTCTGTGATAGCAATACACTTTGAATTGTTCCAGCTGGTTCATATATTTGGGTGCCTTCAACTGATAGATGTTTGAAGTCAATACAGGTAATCCTTGACTTACAACCATTCATTTAGTGACTGTTCAAAGTTACAACAGCACTGGGGAAAAAGTGAATTTAGGACTATTTTTCACACTTACAACCATTGCAATATTCCCATGGTCACGTGATCAAAATTCGGACCCTTGGCAACTGGCATGTACTTACGATGGTTGCAGTGTCTCAGGGTCATGTGATCACTTTTTCTGACCTTCTGACAAGTGAAGTCAATGGGGAAGACATATTCATTTAGCAGTCGTGACATTAACTTAACAACTACAGTGATTCCCTTAACAACAGTGTCAAGAAAGGTCGTAAAAAGGGGCAAAACTCATTTAACTAAACTCTGTTTAGCAACAGAAATTTTGGGCTCAATTGTGGCCAAGGACTACCTGCATTTAGTGTACATTATAATAAGCATATGCCATATTTACCATCCCTGGGCAGAAGTATTTATTTAAGGAGATCCATAAAGCAAATTTCAGCAGTCCTCCCAATTTCATTGATACCCATTTCCATCTGAGTATCACAGAATCACTAAGTAGGGTTGAAATGTTAGAGGGCATCCATTGCATTCCATCTGAAACACAACATTACAACAGAGTAACCGGTGGAGGAAGGTAAAGTGAATGAAATCATTTTCCTAGTGGAAGACATTTGGTTGAAATGCATTGGGCCATTATCACCTAATTAATTCACTATTTTTGAGACTGAAGCCTTCACCATCCTGTTTGCAAATCATCCTTTTTCTTCTTCTGTTTGATCTCTCACAGCACATGGCTCCCAAAATGTCCAAGCATGTCACAATCTCCGGGGTGCTTGCCAAATGAAGAAAAAGTATTGTGCTGCAAGAGGAGAAGACCAGCAAGACTTTAGGAGCCAGCACCCACAACACTGTAGGGCTTGTCTCCAATGAAGCCGCTTGTGTGATGGTGAAGAAAGATTTTCTTCCATCCTCCCAGCCTCAAAAATCACTGAGCGAACAAGCTGTTGAGCTCCAGACTCCTTCAGCTAGAGAGAACTTTTTGGAAACAGCTGAAGCCAAAATGTTAGGCCATCCAGTTGTGGCCAAGGAGCCTGGTGTAACAAGCATCATTTCCCAGAATACAGGTGTGGAACAATGCAGTGTCCCAGGCTTGGAGAATGGAGAGGGTTCTAAAAAGACATTGCCTTCATTCAAAATAGCTGAGAAACCTAGGATTGTGGCTACCACCCCTTTGCAACCACAGAGTAAACCCCCATCAATGTATTTACCCCAACCAAAACTTGTCCCCCAATCTCCACAATCCAGAAAAGCACCAAGGAAAACCTAAGGGACTGGTTTTCTTCCAAGACTGCCAAAATCTGTATGCATGGGATGCTCAACCGTAGACAAAGTCACTGTGATAGCTGTTCTGTTTCGTTTGCAAAGGCATTGAGACGAGGCAAAGAAAGTAAAACAAGTCTTCTCTTTATTTTCTCCAACAGAACCAAAACAAAATGGCTCGGATTGTTCTTATACCCCCTTGCAGGGACAGTCACAGCCAATCAATGCAAGGCTTTTCTCCCGCCTTGCGCATGCACACAAGGCAGGAGACAGCCTGTCTGGTCCCAGGCATTCACAAGTCTGCCCTGGCCTTTCAGCAGCCTCCTGCACCTGCTGAATGACTCAGCAGGCCCAGGACATAACACCCCTCCCCTCTTATTTCAAAACATAATACTTTACTATTAAACAGATAATACCTTATCAATCCTTTATCTCTCCCACAAGGAAATTTACTATTATGCATGACTATAACTGAACACTTGTTCTTTTGAGCGCGTTCTTATTTCTAAGTGACCTTAAACCTGTCCACAAGCAGACAGGCATCTTACGTAGTCTTGTAAGTGTTTGGGTGGTCCTCTTGCTTGCTCTGACCTTCTTGGAGCGGTTGTGATGTCCTGGCCTGCAAACTCGCCTGCCAGGCTCGACAGGCCAGGACTGTGATGCCCCCTAGCCTCAGGCAACCTCCCCTGCTGCTGACTGGCTGGATCCTCTGAACCCAAACCAGAGTTCCTTGGTGGGGTGGAATTCCCCAGGTCCAGTGGTGGGGTGGCATTCCCCAAGTCCACAATGGACCCCTCTTGGGAGCACTGTCCCTTGAGCCCAAGACCAGCAGCTGGATAGGCCCAGCAGACCGGTTGCGAGCAATGTCCCATTGACCCGGTACCTGAGTCAGGAGTGCCAGAGTCAGGAGCCGCCTCCATGGCAAGACCCCCTT